ATAAGCCATACCTTCTAAATAAAAACAACAATCCACTCTACATTTGCATTGAGACCGAGATACATGGTTTTAAAAGCAATTAGAAGGGTTTAGCTGGTAGTCCGTTCCAGGCAGGACAGTAAATTCAGAGGTTGGGCAGGCTATGCCTCTTGCGAGGTGTAGTTTGTAAGCCCCTTTGCACTCGTTAGATTTAGGTTCGAGGCACTACCTATCGATAGTCCTCACCTTAGTTTTAGGGTCTGAGGCATTGGTTGATTCCAAATCACCCTATAAGCCCTCACCTTTCGGGCAATTCCTCTAACATGTGTTGTTGGAATGTAAGCCCTAACTTTCTAATCAAAATATCAACTTAAACCAAAATTAGATTTCTAAAATGTAAAGCCCAACATAGGATAATTTGAGCACCTTTGAGTTTCCCTCAGAATCAAGTGCTCCTACCTCACCTCATTTGGCTCTTATTCCAAAATCTAATTCTGAGTTGATCTTTTCATCTCCCTTGAAATTTCTAAAGGCCAAACCCTTTAATCAAGACATTCACGAATTTTAAAACAAAAAACAAACTTTAACCAATATTTAAATTACTTCAAAAAGAAAAGAAAACCACTAGTTTAATCAAAAGTCTTCCCAAGCCAAAGCTTGGGATGTAATTAACCATAGGGGCAAGCCCCTATAGGATGTCTGTACCCCAGAAATAAATAAACCTCATTCGACCAAAATATCGAATGGGGGAATCTTTGTTCAAAAATGTAAATTTTATTATTGAGTCCATAAGAAAATGGTATTTTTGCCCTTCGGGGTAATATATCATTATTCTTATGCCATGCTCAATTATAAAGTATGCAATCCGTTTGAGGATACAAAAATTCTCCAACAAATCATTATGGAAAAGACATCACTATTTTATTGATATATTTTATTAAGGCTATAATCATTTAACTAAAGAATCATATTTTTTAATGTGGATTAACATTGCTTGATGATGATTGGACAAATTATTACTTGCAAGTCCTAAATGATGTGGTTGTAGAAATCTACAATTATATGAATGAATTTGATGATGATCTTAGATCTTATTAATGTTGTTATGATAATGAATCGATATAATCTTCATATTTATCATAATTTTAAGATCAATACAAAGAGTATATTGATTAAAATTCTCTGAAAAGCACTTCATATTAGCATCAAAATCAACATCATAAGTATTAAGATCAACTACCTCTTGTTAGTCATGATCAATACAATGGTTCACTAAATCATTAACCACTTCAACAATTTTGCAAGAAATCCTATCTCAACTAAATAAATCTTACGAACAGGCAATAACATCAAAGGAAAACCAAAAAATATAACATGATTGTAGCACCATATTAGCTATGTTTATACCAAATTAGACCTTAATCACAAATCCAAGACTTTGCAAAAAGTTCTAATTTTTACCAATTAAGCTAGTTAACACCTACAAAAAGAAAAACTTTGTTGTTTTGCATCTTTACTTCTTTTAGATAAAGCAAAGCTTATATAAGTGACTCAAAATGAACTCACTAACATGCAAACCCCTCAACTCAGTGTGTTTTAATCTTCAAAGTTTTTATGATGCTTTCTCTCTTCTAGCCCAAGATCTTGGTCCCCTGAGTGTACACAAAAACGCACGCACCAAAAAAATGGCCTATACATGTTGTTAGGGCAAGGAAACTGACAAGGTATCAGTCTTTCTACATAAGAGAAATCATGAAGTTCTTACTCAAGGAATGAAAATTGGAATGTGATAACTAATAAGAATTTAGAGAAACCTGACTACGAGGAGAAGTCTGGAAACCAGATCTCTGACATCAAAATAAATAATCTTATGTATAGCGACAACTAACTAAGAATTAAACTCTCTCTCTCTCTCTCACACACATATATATATATATATATATTTATATATAGAGAGAGAGAGAGAGAGAAATAAGGATAGAGTTTATTTTTCTTTGACAACTTGTTATGACATAAGGATTTGAATCCTCATCAATGAACTTTCAGTCTATCCTATTTTTTATCTCATAATTCATATTGCTCTTTTTTTCGGCAAGCTTCCCAATTACATCCACTTGCACTATAAAAAGGATCTACAAATAGGTTGGTGAGACAGCTCGGTTTGGTATGATTTCCTGCAATTCTCTATAGTAAGATCCAGTGGCAGCTGCGTTTGGAAGTGCTTGAAAATTGAGTCTAATGATTGAAAGTGGTGGATGACAGGTTGTGGAGGAGTCCAATGGCATGGAGACCACTAACGTTTAGATTCCAAAATTGCAAGAAGTCGTTTTCTATCATTTAAGGTTAGAATGACAAAAGAATAAAGGAACTGATAAGAAAGTAGTTTGAATAATGGATGATGTATGCTGCTAGAGGTTTCCAGCGATGAGTGGCTAGAAGTTGCTTGGATGGCAAGGGAAAGAGATGCTACAATCATAGGCTTCTAAAAACAGAGGTGATATTGTGGCCAAAGCTTTGGAGATACAAAAATAAGAATATATAGCGGAAGAGCTAAAATCAAAGGCTTTTAAAAATAGAGGTAATTTGCAGCCAAAGCTTTGGACATACAATAATAAGATATATATACATATATAAAAGAATGTATATTATCTTTGGCTCCATTTTCATTTTTGTTTCATAACAATGGCTTCACTATTTTAGTATTTTGTTTAAATTTGAGATTAAAGGTAGACTTATTGTTAGTAAATAAAAAGAAGTGGAGAAGATATTTAATAGATAATAATAAAAGAAGAGAGAAAATGGTAGAGATAAAAGAGAAAGGTATATTTAAGGGGAAATGCTTATAATTAATTAATTATTTCTACTACTAATGGAACTAACTCGCTATGTGTCTGTGGACATAACTAGATCTCGTCAAAAAACATAGATTCTTGACTCTTTTTTCTAGCGTGTTTCCTTTAAGGATTTATTTATTTCTTTTTCTAGTGATTTTTATTGCGGTTGCACGTGCATTTCCCCAACAAGTGGTAATAGTGCTACGCTAGCTTTAGGGCTCTACCAGAATAGTGAGAGTAACACCATTCAAGGATAGTAAGGTGGATTGACAAGTTCAATGGCAAGGCTTTTGGCTACTGGAATATGCAAATCAAGGATTATTTATACCAAAGAAAATTACATCCACATCTCTTAGAGTTGAAGCTTACTACCATGAGTCAATAAATTTAAAATCTCCAAGATCGACATGCGCAACTGCATGAGTTGTACACTTGTCACTAAAAAATGTTGCCTTCAACATATTGAAGAAAATTGCATTTACATAAGGATATTCATAGAAATTAACTACTAGCTATGACAACTATAAGCAAAAAAAGACTTTTTGAAGCAAACGAGCCATACGTGGAATTTAAATCTTATGAAAAATTCATGGTGCGTCTACATTCAGAAAGTTTTATACTCAAAATTTAAAAAATTAATATTTGAGAAAGGAATTGTCATTTAAAATCTTGCATCAAATTGGAATAAATGTCATAAATTGAACATTCAATTTTTTAAATGTATGATTTGAACTTATTTGATGAGCTTTCAATTGCATAAATTATTTTATCTTTCCATCTACTACTTGTGAATCTACATCCAACACTTCGTTAAATAATTCTATGCAGTATGTTCTTGAAGCTATTCTGGGTGATGAAATTATGTTTACTAAGGATGGTGGATTTAAAGATCTCTCATTCAACGGTATGATAGTTTTTTTTTTTTTTTTTTTTTTTTTTTTTTTTTTGTGCTATCTCATTGATCAAGTGTAAGAATCACAAAGTTTATGTTCTGATATACATAATAAATATCAAATTCCAAATTTTTTGAAGCCAAATCTTCTCAAATTGGGTAGATTAATGCGGGTTGTTCCTATTTTATAGTTGTGGAGTTCTCTACTCCAAAGGGCTATTGAATTTTCTCGGCTTCTATCACACTTTGCTTTTGTGAGTGCTATTACTGCAGGTAAAATTGTCTTTGCTTTATAGGATTCTTATTCACTGTGGTCTTTTTGTTATGTGGATCATGCTTGTGTGTAATTCCAATGCTGCTTACTAGAACCGTTCTATTGCCAATATCCATTACCAAGATTTAAAATTGCGTAAATAAGCCTCGAGGCGTTTTTCGTCCGTGAGGCAAGGCGTAAGCCTTGAGGAGGTGTGAGGCTGGACGAATAAGTATTCTAGCAGATAAATAGTAGTAAGAGTCTATGATACAATAAAAATATCTAAAAGAGAATTGAACTTAGTGGAAAACAAAAAAATAGATGCAATATATGCATCTCATAGCATAATTCAAAGTACAAAACTACAAATTAAGTCTATCAGAACTCCCAAAGTACAAATAAGAAAAAAAATTTAAAATACAATCATGTCCCATCACTACATGGGTCTTCAATAGAGGCATCTTCATCTCCAATTGTATCTATGAATATCAAATCTTCATTATCTTCAATGTTACCCACTAATCTTCTGGGGTCCGTTTGGGATGGCTTTTTCACTACTTTGTATTTCATATCCATGCCACACACTATTTCGCTATTGTTTATTTTGCTGCCTTTTTTAAAATATTGGTGGTGGGAAGTAATTTCTTATAATCAAATATATTAGAGTACGATAGCTATAAAAAAAAGCCTTGCGTTTGATTTTTTTTCAAATGAAAAAGTTATAATGCCCACATTAACTTGCAAAAAAAAGAAGTATCATCCTAATATCATCCTAATTTATGTATTATGAAAAATCAATATACTTTATGAAGATATGCTTGCAAATTCCTTTTGATTTTTTTTTTTTTTTTTTTTTTTTTTTTGAAAGTTGCCCCCCCCCCTTACATTAACTTGCAAAAAGAGTATTATCATCTTAATTTATGTACTATGAAATATGAAAAATCAATATACTTTATGAAGATATGCTCGCAAATTCATTACCTGTCTCCCCATGAGGCGTACGCCTCACTAATAGTTGTGGATTTTTGTTTCAAGAGATCTACTAATTTCATTTCACTATTGATGTATTCAATTTGTGATATTTGGAAGATTCAAGCCTCTATTTTGTCGCATTGGAATTGAGTGATAAAACCAGGTAATAATTTGATTATTATTTCAAATTAATTTTAGTTCATCTTGTGTCAACCATATTTTCTAACATAACAGCAAGACTCTATAAATAGATTGTCAAATGCATGCGATTAAATATCTTTGATTTAAAAAAATTCCTCCAATTTTCAATGTTATGTGTGTCAATTGAGTGTAATTCATTTGAATAAGGTGTAAGTGTGACCATCTAATTCTAGGGAAGTCCTCTCCTTATGCTGAAATAAGGCATAGATTTCTTACTTTGTTGAATTCTTTCGTTGACTTGATTTCTACATATCTTGTTATTGGCTTGTTAATGTTCTTAGTGTTGTTCAAATTTAGCATAGCTAGAATAAAATCATGTTGATCAAATTATAATTATTATTGATTTCGAGTAATTAATTTTTTTTATTGATTTCTTAGTAATTATTCAAATCATTCAATTATTGTTTTGATTATAATTATCATATTTACAGTGCACATTTAAAGCAAGAACATTATTGGCTTTTTTACTAGTTTGTGTTCTGGGAATTGTGCTTTGAATGATTTACATATAATGCATTATTCTACTTGCATTACAAACCTTAACCCTAAACCATCTTGCATCACCATAAAATCACTCAAGTGGATTGGATTATGATTCCATGCTATTAACATTTAAAAAAAAAAATGCAGCATGATGAGTTTCTAAGGTGAACCTATACTGGAAGTTGTTGCTAACCTTCAAAATAGGGAGGTTTTGCAATCTCATTATAAGAATGTTTATTTTAAGATGCAGATAAATATCATGATAAACTTGAACATAAGCGATCAGAATAAATAATCCAGTAAATGAAAATATAGGTTTTGTTTGGGATAGCTTTCTTAATGCTTCTTAAAACAGCTATTTAGTGCAAATATTTAATTTTTTGTAAAAAAAACTACTTTAAGAAGCATTAAAAAAGCTATCTCAAACAAAGCCATAATGATAGTATAGTTTTATGAAGCTCATTCAACAATAGGGAAATGAAATCCTATTCTTGGAAGTATTACATGCTATAATATCAATCTAGACTTTATATTTATAATATGTGCAAAAAGGTCTGTTATTGAAGAAGAGTTACCATACAAAATTCATGTTATCCATGAAATAATTAATCAGTAGAAAGCAAATAAAAGTATGCATACTCGCGAATCTGGAAAGTAAATCGCAAGCACTTGAGGGCACATGTATTTCTTTCAGGTACCGAATAATTCATGAACCTGCAGGAGCCATACATCTTTGTTGGTTGAATCCAATGAGAGAACAGATTTGAGTTGTTCACACATAAGTAGGAACGGGAAAAATATCATCTATCATGAGTAAATGCAATGCGTATGCTTATTAATTGTAGCATAAAACTAACGTAGAGTCATGACAAATCCTACAAACTTTCAAAAAATCCCAATTTTTGTTTACAACTTTTTGGAAAAGAAATTTTAAAGAAAATAAACGTTAGCATGTAAAATAAATTTATGAACAAACTTTCAAAAAATTTAAGTTGCAGCATACCAATTTTTGTTTACAACTTTGTCATAGTCGCTTAATGTTATGTAAATGGCCAAATTTATCACATCCAAATAAAGAAAATTACCACAGATCAAAATGGTTTGAAAATCATGACTAGGGTAAGTGAGATTCATACACATACATGTAGTAAATACAAAACTGGGATAGAAACTTATTATGATTTAAAGTCATATTTCAGTAAGAGCTTACAAAATAAAGAACTTTATTTAAAAGCATTAAAAAAAGTTGTTTCTTTGATTCTATTTATTAATTAATCCTTGTCTTCACATATCCCAATCATCAAGCTTAAACTAGATAAAGTTGGTGCAATCCAACAAAGCTATTCAGAGATCCTCATTCCATAATAGGAAGCTACAATAATCTGCAAGAATATAATCTAATAAGATGGCACAACTTTTCTATCTACTAAAAAATTGCACGAATTGTGGCTCTGAAAGGAATGCTGCAAACGGGAGTCAGAATGCAAAGGGTGCAATTGCACTATCTAATAGGATAAAATGGTCGTAAGCCTTTACACTTTATGCGAGCAGGCCAATGGGAGAGCAGATGTAATTATACATCCGATTAATCATGGAGGATAATGGCTTTCATCTACACACCTCGATGGATAATAGTATATATAACACAATAATAACGAGATTTCCCTCATTTGATACATTAGCTCAAATAAGGTTTATTTAATTGGTTAATTACATCTTAAACCTCAGCCTAAGAAAACTCTCGATTAAGAACACTATATTATTCTCTTCGGAGTCTGTCGTGGCAGGCATCGTGTAGAACACAGGGGACACCTCTTCCATCTCTTCGAGTACCATGTGAAAAAGAGAACCCCAGCTGAAGATCCTCTCACTCTCGATATCTACCCATTCACACTCCATGTACCCCCCCCCCCTTCGATCTCTATAGTTCGTACACCTAAGAGTCGGAATCCCCCCCCCTCTCGTCTCTCTTGCCCTAGCAAATAGGAGGAAGTCAAAGCCCTCCACCTCCATCTCTTGTTCGTGAATCGCAGGAGCAAATCGAACCCGCCGACCTTCTCCGTTGGCAAGCTGATTCCTTCTTTGGGTACATCTCAAGTACACCAATTAGTAGGTATGCTAGGATTAATGTCGGATCCTCAAGGACAAATGAATCGACGGCTAAATCCTTACACCCAAAAAGAAACTAGCAAAAGATTTTCCAGAATGGATTGGCATTATCATCACAAAGAAATACCAAGATTAGCACGATTTATGATATCAACCCAAGTGTTAATAACACGACTTTGACTGTCAACTACATATTTACTATCGACTTTTTGAGTTTCAGAAACTGTAGCCAAAACTGCTTCAAATATACAATATTAGTTAGTGATCCCAGCTCCATAATTAGGCTTACAGCGACAACGTCGCCGAAGTGGGTGGCGATAAGGCTGATTGTGTTAAAAGATTTTGTAATATTTTATTTAAGTTTTAATATTCGATTTATATACTAATATTATATAGTTTTATTCTTATTCTAAAAATTTGAAGGTTATTATACTATGGGAGTTTTTCTATATCTAAATAAGATGGGCAGTTGTTCATATTCCCCAAAAAGTTGCCCGGGCCTAGTCACTGCGACCCCCTTTTTGAGGAGGCACCCCTTCTCCCGAAGTTAATTCATTCTATAATTCTTCTCGTCCAACTTGATGAATTAATTTTAGGATATAGGACTTTCCTATTAAATATATCTGAAAATGTGACAAGATTTATATTCACCGAATTCAGTATAAGCTCAAGACACATAAGTGCTCCCAAGCATTTGTTGATCTCAGATGTGCCCATATCAATGGAACGGGAATTTGGAGCATTCCAAAAACTTGGGGATCCAACTACACACTTGGAAAGGGTGGACAATTAGCTAGAGCAGCAGGCGAGAAGCTATTCATAAGCAATATCCAAAACCTCCTATTGAATATCCCAAGATCTCTTCGTTAGTTGGGGGAAGAATCAGCACAAATCGGATTTTTTTAGGAACGTCTCGAGGGAAAGGTCCTTTCAATGCTCTAACGCCCGCACCGGATATGGACCGAACAGTCTCACGACGTTTCTAAGTGATCCATCAGCTGTAAGGTTGATCAATGTGAATATCCCTTGATCCGCAACTTCTGTATTTATCATTATTAAGTATTTCAAGATTGGCAAGACATAATGCCCATTGAGATTCTTCCTGTTGATGAAAGATTGACGACAAATGCCTAAGGCCAAATCACCAATTAACGCCACAGGGCTTGAATCCTATACTCGGGGGGTGCGCGCAGGGCAGACGATTTCCAAACGGACTCCTATAGAGAAGATCGCCAAAAATGAAATCAATGAGAAAGCTATCCTAGCCGGACCCTGCAAAATAAAAAATTAGCAATTGTAAGTAAATTTTAGGGAATAAAAAACTAAGATCTAACGCCGGATTAATTGTTTTAAAATTTTATTTATTTTTTTATTCTTGCTTATGAATCGGAGTTTGAAACCAAGCTTCTCCTCAGGAGGATAGATGGGGCGATTCAGGTGAGATCCAATGGAGATCGAACTTTCTATTCACTCGTGGGATCCGGGCGGTCCAGGGGGGGACCCCACGGCACGTCTGATTAGCTAGTTGATGAGGCTTCATAGGGCGATTTTCACTGCTTATGGACCCGAACCTGGGTGATCTATCTATGAACAGGATGAAGCTTGGGTGAAACTAAAGCTATATCCCCCCGAGCCGAGTGAAGCATGCATGAAAGAGTCAGATGCTTCTTCTATTCTTTTCCGAGCATGTTTGAAAAAGGACAAATTTCTTTCAAGAGGATTCACGGCATGTCAAGCCCTGGTAAGGTTCTTCGCTTTGCATCGAATTAAACCACATGCTCCACCGCTAGAAAACGATTTATTTGATATTATGGATGATTGGTTATGGGGAAAACACTAAGACCAAGCCCACGCTAAAGTTTCTGACAAATACCAATATGTAAGGGTAGAGGCCCCAAAAGGAGAATTAGGAATTTCTTTAATAGGAGATAGTAGTGTTTTCCCCTCGCAGACATTTCTGCAACACCTCTAACAGAGAGATATGGATCGAATTGACAGGCTCGGCTATGTTTGTCCTTGAGGATCCGACATTAATATGTCTTGTACACTCCTTTCAAATATAGTGGAGTCAACCTGGATATGCCCCTAGCTTTCGTCTCTCAGTGTCAGTGTCGGCCCAGCAGAGTGCTTTCGCCGTTGGTGTTCTTTCCGATCTCTACGCATCGCCATTGTATAACCACTCATCAACAGATGCTGCTTCCCATATTGGCTCAAAATGGACCAGGATGAAGCTTGGGTGAAACTAAGTGGAGGTCTGAACCGACTGATGTTGAAAAATCAGTGCATGAGTTGTGGTTAAGGGATCAAGATAGCCCAATTTATGAAGATTCTGATCTGGAGACCCATCAAGATAATTGGGAATTGGGAAGACTGAAACAAGAGAAAAAGAAAAGAATGAATATGTGGGTTGAAAAAACTTTTGTCACTTTTAGCAATTTTCTTATCCAACCCAGTTCTCTATTTTGTCCAAAGAATTCTTTTTTGAAGAAGAACAATCTCTTTCTAAAGTTGCTTTGTTACCTATCCCATTAGGAACTGCAGAATATTCCCCAAGATAAATCATATAGCCAGGATAAACCATGAACCATAATAGAGTACTCCAGCTGAATGGATTTTAAACTATTTTGGATATTGCTTCTCTCCTTCTTCTTCTTCTCCTTCTTCTTCTTCTTCTTCATCAATATTTTCCTCTCATTCTTCTTCCTCTTTTCCCCTTTCTTCTTCTATCTCTCCCTCTTCATCTTCTCCTTTATTTTCTTTCTTCACTTAGCCTTGCCCTTCTTCTTTAAGAATAACAGTGGTTTGCTGGTTAGTTTGCCAAATAAAATTACTTGGTGAATGTTCTTCTTTGTCCTGATTAACTTCCTGCTTCTTTGTGAATTGAATGCTCTCCATTTTGCAAATGTTTCACATAGGAGAATGAACCAAATAGTCTTACCAAGTATGAATGGGCTATACGATGAAATTCGTGTTGTTTGTAATCACGTTCTTGTTTTTAAATAAGCAGAAATTTACATTCATTAATGGTTTAAGACATGCAATCTCATGTATAGATCAAAAGAGGTTATAGAGTCTCTTATCAAACGCATAGAAAGTGTTTATAGTAATGTCTATCAAGAAATGTTGTAAACCTTAACCAAGCAAAGATGTTGAACAAGCATCTTTACATCTCATTTCTTCTATATTCCTAATGAGTTTATAAGTTTTGGTTAGAACTTGAATATTTGTATATGATACAAACGATTGATATGTTTTTGGACCATTCATTATATGAAAGAGATTTGTTCCTCTTTGTTTTTCCAAAAAAAAGAGAATAACAATGCAAATTTATGTTGACGTTAAGTTGTAGTAAATTTGTTCTTCTTATTGTGATTTGTAACAAAATGTTATTGGGGTTGTCGTTGAATATGAGTCATGAGATAATGTTGTTTTTGTGATGTACTACTCTAACACTTTCACAAAATAGAGATATATTGTTCAATATATACATTTAACTGTTTATACACTTTGTGATTAATGAAAAACATGCTTTATTTCTTAAAGTTGTCTTGTTGTGAGCTTACTTAAAAAGACCTCTTCATCGTCTTTGTATATATATATATACATATATATACATATATACATATATACATATATACATATATATACATATATATACATATATATACATATACATATATATACATATATATACATATACATATATACATATATACATATATATACATATATATATATATATATAGGGTTTTTGAGATTATTGATTTAAAAAAAAAAGTCCTTATATGACAAGAGTATTATGGTTAGAAAGATTTAATGAGTTATCCTTATAGCCTCCTACATGTTCCCGATTGTTTATTTGATAATAAGTCGAGGGAATAAATTGTTATTTGAAAAAAAAAAAAGGTTTAGTAAGTTGAATGTTAAAGAAGTATATGAAGATGCTTATTTCCATTGCAAACTAGAATTACTACTATGAGAAAATCAAATGTGAAATGCGAAAGGTTGTTTTCGTCATGACACTTCTTGTGAAGTTGTAATTATTTTGATGATGATGAAGAAGAAGAAGGAGAAGAAGAAGAAGGGAAGAAGGAATAACCTTGCCAACGGAGAAGGGCCGACGGGTTCAGCTTGCTCCTGGGATTCGCGAACGAGAGACGGAGACGGAGGGCTTCGGCTTCCTCCTGTTTGCTAAGGCAAGAAAGACGAGAGAGGTGAGGAATTCCGCCACTTAAGTGTGCGAACCACAAAGACCGAAGAGGGAGAGGGGGGGCAGAAGTGCTGGAGTGTGAATGGGAAGAGATCGAGAGTGAGAGGGTCTTCAGCTGGGGTTCTCTTTTTTCACGCGATACTCAAAGAGATGGAAGAGGCATGCCCTATGTTCTGCACGATGCCTGTCACGACAACACCTGCAAATCTCTACTGCAATGGTGATAAGAGATCTTCTACGCACACTCTCTCTGCTACCGTCGCCGAAGTTAGAAAAAAAAGGCACGATAATGATTAAAAACAAGAGCGACCACAGCCATTGATTTCAAACGGCTGATTGGCAGCTGATTTGAGTCCAAATCGGACTCAATTTGACTCGATTTAAGTCAATTTGAGTTCAATTTAATTTAATTAAACTTATTTGGCGAAATTGAACATGAATCGACGCCAATTCGAGCCAAATTAAGCTCGACGAGGCTCACGGACGTCAATCAAGCTTAATCGAACTTCCTCAGGTTCAATTTGACTCAACTCAAGTCGCCTCGAACTCAAATTCGGCTCGATGAGGCTCAATTACATTAATCGAACATGCTCGAGGGAGAAAGATGCGCGAAAACAAGGTCAACACGAATTTTCCTTGTGACTGTCAAAAATAGATTTGTCGAGTAAAAATTAAAATGCATCATATGATGTAAATGATGAAAGAAGTCTTTGGACTAAATCCAAACCCATCCTATCAACTATACAAAATGAATTAATAGAAGGGAGGGTGCAAGAACTTCAAAGTGTTCAAAACAAATTTTTCGAGCCAATGCTCAATTGGAATCACAAGAATGCAAATCATGTGGATCCTAAGCTTCAAAAACAAAAAAAACAAATATATTAATAGGAGAAGGCTGTAATAGAGTCCATAAGAATACAAATCACGTATAAAAAAGAAAAGCTTGATACGCTTAGAAGAGACAAAACTAGACATAGCAATATACGACCAAGTATGAGCTCTAGAAGATTGACAAGAAGGTTTCATCCATGTTGCGCTACAGGTTGTCTTTTTCAGAAAAGGGCAAGCTCGATATCAATAGTATGGTTCAACAGTTAATTGACAAATATTGGATAAAAGCAACAGTTACTATAGAAACATATCATTTTAGTGTACTATTTTTGCTTAAATTCATGTCTATGTGCTATCTAATATAAACCAACGTTTGTTATGTATTTGTCAATAATCATAAATAATTTCAACCTAAATATGATCCAAGTACTCATGATTCTCGCGCTGCTTTGATTGTCAATTTGGAAACTAATGGAAAATGATTAGCCACTGCATCATAGCATTAAGAGAACATTATCAAGAATTTAACTAGAGTCAACTACCATAAAAACTTCCTTGCAATCTAGAAATTAAAGAAAAACCTATTTTGCAAACTCATTCTCGAGCCGAAGTTCCCAACAAGACTCAAACAGATCTTAAACCTGAAGTCAATAGATGGCAAAATTTTATGAGAATAAAAAAGGAAGGAGAAAAAAATCTTCCGAATGTCTTAATTGAGAACAATGGTGCTGGGCAACATTCTTTCCCAAAGCAAACACGGCGGTTGAACTAAAGCTACTAAAGGAGAAGTCAAGAATATCTTGATGGAAAACAAGGGTGCTGGGAAACATTTATTCCCACAAAACAAAAAAAAAAACATGGAGGCTGAACTAAAGCTACAAAAAGAGAAGTTTAAAACTCACAGAAAAAACAATATTACAGTCCGGGAGAGGTGCGGCAAAGGGTACCCTGTGAGAGATCTCGAAAGCTCTGAGAAGTCAAACTTAGCCGCGATGTCAGCCTTGCCACTGCCACAGCAGTGTGCAATGGGTACATGGACCCACCAGAGCATCCCAATTCCACTGGAGACCTACAAAAAAGGAATCCAAGTCAATTAAAAGAATTTTCTTAAATGTTATGTTTGGTCTGAAGGAATTTGAGGGAAATGCAAAAGTATTTTACTCTACAATTTCACATTTGGTATTCGGTTTCAGGGTAGTAAATAGGTAATTGAAATTACTTCAGAAATATAAACATATGCATTTTTCCAGAATTTCCAACCTAGCCGCCCTAGTGAAAAAGGAGAAGATTTATCAGTTTATCATTGTGGCACACAAGAAACAAAAACTAAATTTCTAGAAAAAAACCAAAAAAAAACATTCTAAACTCAATTTCTCCTCAACCAAACAAGTGGGTGAAAACTAATTAAAATTCAATGCTTCCACAATGTCCATTTCCTTTTCATCCCCTCTCATTCAATTATTTCAAACAATTAATATATATATATATATATATATTGCAATAAATTATCTGAAACTAAGTCTCTAAAGCTTGGTTGGTGGGCGTGCTCGGTTGGGAACCCCCCATCCCGAGTTTGATTCCCTCAAGCGGCAGTCGCCCCTCTAGGGGGGACCCAATAAGTTTGGCCACGATAAGCAAGGTGTGGTCGCTCGTTCTGGTCGCCAAGGAGACTAGTGGACATCGCCAAGCACGTCACAAGCTGACGTGGCAGCGGGCCGATACTCCCCGTTCCCAAAAAAAAAGTCTCTAAAGCTCGTTTTGAAGGAATATAAGAAAGGAAATGAAAAGAAAATTTTAATATTAATACATAAAAATTAAAAATGATAAAATGAATTGAAACTCATTTTACCTCTATTGTTTGGTTCAAAAGAAATATAGGGTACATTTCATTTGAAGGAATTATGAAGAAATTAAATATTATTTACCTCAAAATTATATCTTTGCTGTTTGAATTGGGCGTAATTCAAATTTCTCTATAACATATTCATATTTCTGTTTATCATTCTCGACTAACCAAAAGTATTAAAGAATTTTCTCAAATGTTTTCATTCCCCTCAACTTCTAGGGAAGTTAGATTTGAACGAAATAGAGAGAATGCAAATGCATGTTAGATATTTGAATCCGATGTAATTAATAAGTAATTGATTGTCCCAACCAAAATGTGAATTTTTCTATTTCCATTGACGATTCCTTACCCAATCAAAGTGAAAAAACGAGAAAAAAATTTATTAGATCATCATTTTGACTTACATGTCCTTTCCTCGCCAAAAATAAAAATAAAAGCTCAATTTTTAATCAACTAAACATGAAAGAAAGGCATCACAACGATTGGTTGACTACTATTGTTTTCACTCAATTTCGCCTCAACCAAATAAGCTGGTGAAACTAATTTTAACACAATTAGCTTATGACATTTATTTTGAACAAACTTGGAAGAATGCATATGCATTTTATTCATAAATTCATTTTGTGTATTTTATTTTGATGTAATTAACATGTAGTAAAATTTATCTAATAAATATGAATAAGTATATTTTTTTCATTAAAAATTCCCTGCCAATCATTTATAAACTGGTAACTCACATTTCATCTTTTCTCAGAGGAATAAAAATTCAATTTCTAATTAACCAAACAAACAAATAAATAAATCACATTTTTTTCTCTTCAACAAAACAAGTAGGTTTTCTAGTGAGAGAAGCTGAATTTCAAATCGTTGGAATTGGCGGTTGCCTCGAAGATTCCGACGATGGAGGAGGATCGCCGGATGAATGCCGGCGGTTATCCTTCAGGAGATCGAAGTTCTAATTCTGATTTCAAAAAGACCTTGCCGGAGATCAAATCACCTCCTGTTTTCGGTGAAACAAATTCAAGAACTATGATGAAAAATATGAATAATGGAGTTCGGTTGTCTTCAAACTATGGTAAACCTTTAATTATTAACGAAGGCGGTCTTCTGAATATCAAACCAGCTCCGGTGATTGGGAAGGGGAAGAGGATTATGATGTCTGAAGAATTTTCGAAAAAGGAGAAACCTTGGAATCACCAAATGTCTTTCTCTGTTGGTATAGAGAATTCTTTCTATAATGGAACTGATGGAGTTATGAAGGAAAAATCAATTGAAGATAAACAAGCCAACATTGTAGCTGAGGCGGAGAATAAAGAAGATCGACGAGAGATGAATCTGGTTCGTCAATGTATATCTGGGGATAGAAATGGGGAAGCAACATCTGATAAGGCAACTGAAGATAAAACCAGAAAAGAACCTACTGGTAATGGGGTAATGAATGTATGGCAGAAGAAAACTCATAGAAGGATCTCGGAATCCGACTGGAAATCTGACAATTGTTTTGCTGAAGATGGTGTAACCATTAAACTTTGTGAAGAAAAGGTCTTGGAGAATACCAGATATCTGCAAAAGGCTTTAGTGGTGAAAGTATTCGGAGAAAACATTCCTCAGTTCATTGTTAATGCTGAATTAAAGAGGCAATGGTCACAAATAGGTAAGTTTAATCTTACCTGGCTTGGAAAGGGGTGGAGTCTATGTGCTTTTGATGATGAAGAATCCATGGAGGTGGTTCTTGCAAATGGACCATGGTATGTGAAAGGTAATATTATTGGTGTGGATAAATGGAACCAATCATTCTCTCCGAATTCTTTAAAAGGGTTGACAGCTCCTGTATGGATAAGAATGCCGAACTTACCTCTTTACTGTTGGGACTCTACAAATGTTTGTAGAATTGCCTCTAAGGTTGGGAAACCGTATCTCATTGACGAAAACATGTTTCAATGGAGTAGAAGAGAATTTGCCAGGATTTGTGTTCAAATTCGGCTTGAAGAAGCTCTTCCTCTTGGTGTTTGGGTTGAGGGAACATCAGGAAATTTTTTCCAGAAAATCGAGTATGAGAAGATTCCTAACATATGCTTTGGCTGTGGTAAGCTGGGTCATGATCAAGACAAATGTCCTGAAAAGATTGCTGTTGTAATGTCAAAAGGTTTGGAAAGAGTGGGCTGTAATGTGGAAAAATCAGATGTAAATATGGTTAAAGAGATACCTGCTGAAACCTGTTCTAAGGAGGAAGATGGATATGGTCCTTGGATGCATGTGAGCTATGGAAGGAAACCGTTTAGAAGTGATGGATATCGGGGGAAGAATGTGGTGTGGAACAGAAGTTCAAACAATGTTAATTCTGATCAGTTGACAAGGAAAGTTTTCAAAGAAAAGATAAATGATGTAAATGTTTTTGATGAAGGAAGAAAGAAGATTGATCAGACAGTTTATCTGGCGGCCAATCAGGAATTGAAGTTTAATAAAGAGAATAAAGAGGCAATAGTTAATCTGGTGGTTAACCCAGGGAATAAGTTCTCTGTTTTAAACAGTTTGATTGAAGATGGAGAGCTAGCTGGTCATGGGGAAGAAGAAGTTGATAATGGTATGCTGAAAGATGCAGTTCATGTGGAAGTAAATAAGCCTGGATCTTTGACAAAAGTGGTTAAAGATGGAAGTGATCAAATTGCTCAACATGGAGAAGTTCTGGAGGAAGAAAGAGACAGTAGCTCTACTAGTACCAATACCAAGCTTGCTAAGGAACTCAAAAGGCTTGGTCCAGTTAAATTGTTGCCTAGAGGAAGGAAATTGGAAGGAGAGGTAAGGGAGAAGGCGGGGAGATCTTCCCCTTTTGTTAATTAATGACTTCAATCTTATTTTGGAATTGTAGAGGAGCTAGGAAAAAACAAGCTTCTCTATATTTGAAGGAGGTGGTTAGGGATAATAATGTTTTTTTTGTGGGGCTTTTGGAAACCAAAATTTCCAATTTCAGCAAACAAGAAATTGAAGTTCTTATTGGTAGTGAGTGGGAGTTCTATCAGGTTTTGTCTGAGGGCCTTTCGGGAGGAATTCTGGTGCTTTGGAAAAGTAAAGTAGCTTCATTCTCTCCTTTATTTGCTTCCAATCAGGTGGTAATAGGAGATCTCAATATAATAAATATGGGAGTTTGGAAAGTAGCAACTGTCTATGGTGGTAAAGAGGTGATCCAAAGGAGAACTCTTTGGGACAATCTAGAAGAAAATTGTTCAAACAGCCAACCTATGGTGGTTGGAGGAGATTTTAATTGCATTCTGGATAAAGAAGACAAAAGAGGAGGAAGAGCTTTTCGTTTTTCTCAGGGTCCAAGAGAGATGGAAGCTTTCTTGGTGAAAAGTGACCTTCATGAAGTAAGATTCACTGGCCCTAGATTTACTTGGTGCAACAACAAAATTGGTGGTGCTAGAATACTTGAAAGGTTGGATAGATGTTTCATAAATCCTTTAGCATTAAATTCAAATCATTTGGTGGTAAGGCACTTACCTAGGGTGGCTTCGGACCACAGTCCCATTCTATTGAATTTTCTGGATAATAGTTTTTCTTCTGATAAAATCATAAGATTTGAGGAGGTTTGGGCCTCTTATCCAGCATCAATTAATGTGGTAAGATCATCTTGGAACAAGAAAATTGGAGGTAATGCAGCAGATTTATTGAATTACAAATTTCGAAGATCCTTGAAAGCTCTGTTTTATTGGAGCAGAGCAAAACATAGAGAGTATGGCCAACAAAAAGAATTTCTAAAGGCAAAAATACTGGAACTGCAATCAAAGGAGTCAGACATTGGATGGCTATCTGAAGATGAAATTTTCCTTCTAAGATCCTATGTGGGTGAGCTAAATTCTGTATTGGCACGGTTAAATACATGGTGGAAGCAGCGAGCAAAGGTAAAGTGGATGAAAGAGGTAGATACTAACTCTAAATTCTATCATTGCTTTGCTTCAGCAAGGAAGAATTCCAATCAGATTCTAAAAATTAAAGGGGAAGATGGCTTGGTGACTGAAGATACCTCTCAGATTTTTGAGATATTCTTAAATTTCTTTAATGGCAAATGGAAGGAAAGGATTGGATCTGTGAATGGATGGCCTGAGCCGAACAGTAATCTAGACGAAGATGATAAGAAGATGTTGATCAAAGAGCTAACTATGGAAGAGCTTAAGATTGTAGTATTGCAATCTGAAAACAATGTATCCCCGGGAAATGATGGAATAACATATTCATTCATTAAAACATACTGGAGCATTATTAAAGAGGATTGTTGGTTTGCTATCAACCAGTTCTTGAATTCGGGGAAAATGAATTGTGACTGGAAAGAAACACTTATTGTTCTCATTCCTAAGGTATTGAACCCAAACTGTCCAAGCCATTACCGTCCAATCAGCCTATGCAGAACAATCTATAAGGTGGTGGCTAGAATCATTCTTAACAAGATGAAAATGCTTATTCACAAACTAATCTCTATGGAGCAAGCAGCTTTTATAAATGAAAGATCTTTGGGAGACCACATTTTATTAGCTCAAGAGGTATTTCACAAACTCAAAACTTCTAAATCTTCAAAAGGATTGGTTTCATTTAAAGTAGATTTGGAACAAGCATATGATAGTATGAGTTGGATTACTTTAAAGTATGTATTGGATTGTTTTGGTTTTCCAAATCAATTTTCTATGTGGATTATGGAATGTGTGGAACATGCGAAATTTTCTCTGATTATTAATGGTAAGATATCTAATTGGATTCTTGCAAAGAGCGGATTCCGACAAGGGTGTCCTCTTTCTCCATATTTGTTCATTTTATGCTCTCAATTGCTTACGAATCGTTTGAAACAAAAAGATGACTCATTGGGTATTAAGATTGGTAACAATGTGCCGAAGATTTCACACCTTTTATATGCAGATGATATTCTCATTTTTTCTCATGCTAATGTTAAGGAAGTGAGGGAAATAAAAGGTGCACTATCAGATTTTTGTAAATGGACAGGACAAACAATCAACTTGGAGAAATCAGTTATGTTGTTTGGGAAATTTGTCAAAAAAAGGAAGAAAAATTCTATTAAAAAGATTATGGGGTTCAAGGTGGTAAAAGAATTTTTTTACCTTGGTATAAAGATGGCTTTGAGAAGGCTTGTGGCAGCAGATTTTCATTTCTTGACTGAGAAAGCTCTAAAGCTCACTAATGTATGGGGAAGCAAACAATTGTCGCTTGCTGGGAAGCTTTTGCTGATTAAAAATGTGATGCAATCCATTCAAAATTTTTATTGTACCTATTCTTTGATCCCTAGAAGTATTCTTAATGAAATAGACAAGTTATGTAGGGATTTTATATGGAATAAACAAGATGGGAAGTTGGGAATGCATTATGTAAGCTGGGATAAATTATGTAAACCAGTGAATAATGGTGGTAGAGGCCTCCGTTCATGTGTTAAAGTGATGAATGCTTTGAGAGCAAAGTTGGCCTGGAAGGTTTTTCAAGACAAAGGATCACTACTGTTTCATTTCCTCAAACCGAAATATGGACTCATGCTTGGAGATATTGCTGCTGGTAGAGGAGGTTCTTCCACTGGTAAAATCTTATCTAGTGGTAAGGAAGCTTTGCGATCTGTTGTAAGATGGAGAGTTGTCAATGGTTGTTCTATTAATATCCTGGAGGATGTATGGATATTGGATAAAAGCTTGAATACTTGGCCAACGTTTGTTTCGGTTCCATTTTTAGAAGACAAAACTGTGAACTTTTTAATGCTAAATGGAAACTGGAATGTGCAGAAACTACAGATGCTATGTGGAGAGGAATTAATAAAAATAATTATGATGTTAGACATTCACAGAGATCAAACCAGTGACTATTTGGAATTAATTCATCAAAACTCTGGCTATTCAATTTCATCAATGGTTTACAAGAATTACTTAATGCAGAATCAAGATTGTGGATATTGGAAATGTTTGAAGAGCATTAAATTGAAACCTCGTGTGGAAGTTTTTTGGTGGAGGGTTTTTAATAATGCAATTCCAATGCATGACTTTTTGTATCAAAGAAGAATGCAGGAAGGTTTTATTTGTCCAAGAGGATGTGGTGTTAAAGAAGATGTTGAACATATTACAACAAATTGTGGAAAATTGAAGGAAGTAATTGGATGCTTAAATAAATGGGGTTTTGGAATCAGCTCTTTTCAATCGTTCCAGGACTGTTGGAAATGGATGGATATGTACAAGGATTCAAATGGATTTCTGGTTAATGTTTACTGTAATGCAGTTTATTTTGTATGGAGGTCAAGGAACAAATTTATTCGCGGTGGCAAGGAGGATTGTTCTACATTCATGGCTTCTAGTGCTGTAAGTTATGCTTCTATCTCTTACATGGTAGATGAAAATTTGGGAAACTGGGGTACTAATCAGTCTTTTAGACTGTTAGATCGTTGGTACCCTCCTCCTCCCAACTGGATTAAAATCAATGTAGATGCTGCATTATTAAAGTCTTACAAAGCAGGAATTGGAGGAGTGGTACGGGATAGTGAAGGAAGATTTTTATTGGCATATGGTCATTCTTGTACTCATTGGGATATATCTAAATTGGAACTCATGGCGGTCCATTTCATTCGGCAAATACAAAAAGAGTGGATGCAAGATTACAATGGTATAATTATAGAAGGAGATAATTACAATATTATCAAATTCTTGCAAGAATTGGGAGGCAATTGGAAAGATGATCTTTTATTTTTAAAGGATTTCAATTTTATTTTCTTTAATTGGATCAATAGAAATTGTAATAAGTTAGCTAACTTTTCTGATAACTTTGCTCTTGATAAGGAGTTTATTTGGGATGATCTTTCTTGTAATAAGATTCCTCCTTGCTTTGTTAAACTTCTAAAGGAGGAATCAAGTTATAATTTTAGATTGTAATTAGGTTGCTTTTAATAATTTTGGCAATTTATGGTGCCGTTTTCAAAAAACAAAAAACAAAACAAGTAGGTGAAAACAAATTCCAACTTAGTTTCTTCACATCCTTTTTTCTCCATTTCTTTTTTATCTCATCCGTTTCAAATTCTTAAGACCAAACAGAGCCTCAGCCTGTTCATTTTCTTTCCTCTCTTTCAATTCCCTTGGACCACAAAAGTGCCTAAATAAACTACCTGGAGAGGATGCGAAAGCCTCTGCTCTGGTAACGAGAAGAAGTTCCCGCTTCTTCAGCGGCGGCAGCCTTGGCAGATCCAAAGATGGAGGCATTTGTCGGCGGCGTACGGCAGGAAGCAGTCTTTGCTTTGGAGATGTGCGGACGAAGAGAAGAGAAGGAGATCCGGTTCAGAGACCTGGTGAAGATGGTGGAAGCCATGGAGAGAATGGGAAAGAGGACGAGAGTATCGAGGGACTAGGGTTTAGAAGGATGCAAGTGGCGCGGTCGGGGTTTTGCCAAAGGTTTATCCTGTGTTTGATTGACATTTGGGCAGTCCAACCGGCTGGGTACCGGTACCGGTTCAAAGCTGGTGATTCGACATAGGGCTTCAAGCGATTCATTTGGACGAGTTATTTGTTGTTCGGTTCGATTAAAGCTTATTTATGATTGTTTAATTAACTAAGTAAATAAATTTGAACAATATTTTAAATACTCAAATCTTAAATAAACAAACTAGAAAATAATACGTTCGGCTCATTTATGTTCGCGAACAATATCATTTGAAGTTCGTGAACAAGCTCGACATTAAGCTCGATAAGAAGCTCGATAAAGCTATTTATTTGAACATTTACTTATAAATCATTGCCTTTGTTAATGTTGCAGTTAGAAAAATTATGTGAAGATGGGATTTGCTAATAAATCATTGTCTTTGTTACATAAACAATTGCTTTTATTATAAATATGTTTGTTCATAGATATGTTCATGAATGTGTTTGTTTGATAGTTAAAAAAAAATCGTTAAATATGTTCGCAAACATGCTCGATTTAATCGTTTGTTAGGAAGCTCGATAAAGCACGTTTGTTAAGTTAATGAACATCTAAAAGTAGAGTTTGTTTATAGTTCGTTCATGTTTATTTGTTTAAAGCTCGATAAGCACTAAACAAACGAACATGAAATGAACATGAACCGAACATGAACACCATTAATTTAAATGAACCAAACATGAACACAAACAATAAAGCTCAAATAAACATGAAACAAAATTGAACAAGCTGATATTAAATGAACACAAACATGAATACTCATATACTCGGCTTGACTCAGTTCATTTGCAGGCCTAATTGGAATAAAAGGGCCGCAAACTCGTTACAATGCCAATAGAATAAATTGGTTTTATGATCTTTGTTTTGTTAGATTAAGATTTTGTTTGGAACTGTTTTCTTATTAAAAATTATAAATATTAAAAAAATCTATTTTAAATGAAGTTTAAGTATTGAATAAAAATTTAATGAAGTTGAATTTAATTTCAAATTTTTTGATAATACCTTTTTTTATATATAAAAATTAATTAACACCCACCTTAATAAATATTAAAAATAATATTATCGATACGTCACCAAAGATTATTTTAATCGGACACAATTTTTTATCCATATTTAAATTAAAATTTTGACCAACCAAATTTCGATTTCAACAAATTTATAGTAAAACTTATTGCGTACTGGAATATTAGCAAAAAATCTATAGTAAAACTTATTGCATCCTTCTTTTGGCCCCTAAGGACCTGCTCTAGATATCGGCCCCGCTTTCCTCAAACTTAATTAAATATCCCTACCAATCTTTCATAAAAGATCAGATACATGATTTTGAAGGGCCTAGGTGGTTTAGCCGGCTCCCCAATCCAGGTCAGGATAAGTCCAGATCCTGCATTGCATTAGCTATGTTCGAATTATTGATTTTCAGAATCCAATTTAGATTTAGATTCTGAGGAAGGCTCAGGCTATAAGACCTTAACCTTCAGGAATTGAATTCTAACTTTCTAATAAAATTGACAATTTAAAATTAATATCTTTCAATTAAAATTCAAGCCCGACACTTAGGATAGATTGTGGGCCTACTAAAATATTTCAGAATCCCAAAGCACCTCCTACCTTCCCTCTTTTGACCTTCAGAAATAAGTGTTCCACTTAGATCAAATTCCGATTGAAAATTCCAATCCTCACCTCATTTGATATCAAGCCTTGAAATTTTAAATAAAATTTTTATCGTTATTTTAATCGAGAGTATTCATAGGAAACTCTGATACATATTACGTAATTAACTACAAGGGCTTGCGCTCGTACGAGATTTAGAAACATAAATAAATTTTTTTATAAAAAAAATTCAATTTTATAAAAATTTCTATTAATTATCTTTGGAAAAAACAAATTCAACAATCATTATCGTTATTTTCAAATGATTGATAGTAGACAATATTTTCTTTCCTCGGGAAGATATATCGTAATGTTATCATTATTTTGATTATGAAATTAATAATCCTTTTATCCAGATTAACATAGTCAAACACTCGATCAAATTTCATTTTGACCCTCCGGGGTCATTTATGATTTTTTTCCTGAGTTTGATTATGATAATCCGGATTAATTCAAAATTTTATAATATGAACTCATTAGGGAACAATATATTCGCCTCCCGATGTGATATATTATTTATAATGATGTGTTTGATTTTAAAACTAAAATTTTAGAAATTAAAAACTTCAAAAAGAAAATTAATCTTTTTTAAAACTCAATCAAGACTTTTTTTAATCAAACAACGACTAAAAACCAAACCCTTGTGTTGGTTGTAATTCGTTGGTGCATCCCTTGAATTTATGTCACACAAACCCCCAACCCAAAGTTTAGCCACCCTCACAACATTGACGTAAAAGTCTCAACCGCAATTGCTCATTCCACTATGCTAATCCTCAAGAACCCTAACCCTATGTCTACTCTCCCCCTTTCATTTCCTCTCATTCCCTCAACTAGCCCCACCGCAACAGCTAAACAAAATTCCCTTCCCTCTCAGGCGCTAGTTACTATTCTCCCTTCCCCTCCTTCTCAGTCCTTACCTCTGGGTAAAGACTTCATACCTAATCTTAACTCCACTTCAGATGCTACCTCATCATCTGATCATACTGATTATATTGTTTTCCCCTTTATTGGCCTTCAACTTCTCCCTTTAAGCTTGTTGATATCTCATCAACAGCACAACCCCCACAGCCTACATTGGATTGTGTCACCTCCCCCAACAAAAAAAGGACTGATTCAGGAAGAGCCCAATGATGATCATGATCCTTCCTCTTTTCATGACCCATCTACAACTTAGCTGAACAAAATCCTCCCCAGAAGCCTCCCACAACCAAATCCCTCTTCATCTAAATCCAAATGACTCTTCCCCCCATCGGTTGCAAGACCGTTCAAGTTTTCAATGGCCCTGAAAAAGTTACTACTTGCAAAAAACTCGTCTCCACTCATCATCTCGATATGATGTGCATTCTTGAAGCCAAATTCTCTTCCTCTATGACTAACGACTCATGGTTTGTCAACTACCATAAAGTTTTCACGAATGAAATAAGCTGCAATAATTTTGATTCTTCCTCTCTGGGAAGAATTTTGCTGAAATGGAACCCCTCTAATATCACCTTCAACCCCATTTACTCTTCTTCCCAACTGATTCACAAAACTCTTCCCTCGAGTTCTCTTCTCCTATCACAATGTATACTATTTATGTAACTATCACTCTCAAGAATAGATGCCCTCTCTGCATCAACTCTCAATTTTTGTTGGCTCCATTTCTACCCCTGGATCATTTTAGGTGATTTTAATTGTTGTAAAACTCATAATGAGAAATATGGTGGTAACCCAATTTCTTTTAGCAAGCTTGGAGACTTGAACAATGTGGATTTCAACACTGACACCTTGGATCTTGAATCGGTTGATCTATTTTTTGCCTGGTAAAATTAACGGCTAGATAATCTTATCCACATCAAATTGGATAAGGTTTCATTGCTGGTTGGATAATTTTCCTTCCTCCTTCTATAAGGTGGAACCCCCTTCCTGCACAGATCATTCTCCTCTTGTACTCCTCTTGACTGCTAGCTCCACTAAAAAAATGTAGGTTTATGTTCAAGAACTTCTGGAATAATATGAATGGATTCTTGGATGCAATCATAACGGCCTTCTCCTCTTATGCTATTGGAAGTCTGATTGTCATTTTTATTCTAAACTTTAATTCCTCAAATCTATTCTTAAGAAGAATCAGTTTTCTAATTCTTCATTCCTTTCATCTCGCATCTCCTCTCTCTAAGAGCTACAAAAAAGTTAACTTCTTCAATTACAAACCAACTAGCTTAATCACTCCCTTAACTCCTTTTTAATAGATGTTAACTCCCTTCTCTCATCTCTTCATGCTTCTTGGAGCTCATAGCTTATTCAGAGAGCCAAATCTAAATGGCTCTCTAATGGGGAAGATGACTTGGGTTTTCTTTATGCAAGGATTAGAGTTAAGAGTAACTCAAATCTTATTAGGAAGCTCTCCTATTATTTTAGCCACTTCACCTCACATTCTAAAATTGATAATGCTGATATTCACTATTTCCAAAACTTCTTCAACTCCCCTAAGCCTCCTAATTCTTTCTCTCATAGCATTCCTCCAGGAAATATCATTCCCCTTTACCTCACCGACTCCCTTATTGCTCCTGTCACTGATGATAAGATCAAAGTTATGGTCTTTGTTGTCCTAACTTCTTCTATACTAGGGTCAAATGATTTTACTTTTGAATTTTACAAAAAAAAATAAAATATTGGGATCTTATTGGCCTGCACGTTTGTAATGCGGTTAAAAGTTTTTTTTATCTTTGTTCATCTTCCCAATGAAGCCCAGGCCATGACTATTGCTCTGATACCCAAATGCTTTCATGCCACTCATATCACTGATTATTGACGCATTTCTCTTTACAATATCTTTTATAAAATCATTAAAAAAATCCTTGCCAATTATATGAAAGTCATCATGCCTCGGATTATTCATAAAAGCTAAGTTGGGTTTATAAGTAACAAATCTCTTCGAAAAACATTTTTCTACTTGCAAAAACCCCTATTGAATATAATGCCAATGCGAACAAGAATTTCTTTTGCGCTAAACTTAACATTGTGAAAGCCTTCGACCCTATCTCCCGCAATTTTTAATCGATATGCTTCTCCAAAAAAGGCTTTCATATCAACTTCATCAGGTTGATCAAGGGTTGCATCAATGAGGATCATTTTTCAATTTGTATCAATGGTGCTCTTGAGGGATTTTGGCCTTAGACAAGGCTGCTCCCTCTCCCCCTTGCTCTTCATTGTGGTTATGGATGCTTTTTATTTGCGCCCTCGATGCTGGTAGATTTACTGGAATTATTTACTCACTTCTTGTATGCTTATAATATTTTAGTTTTTGGCTCAGCCTCCTTACAGAATGCCACTCTATTAACTGATACGCTCACCCCTTTTTTCCTCTACTTCTGGCTTTTTATTAACAATGCCAAATGTTCTATGCTTCTCTCTCATAATTCTCCCTTCGAGGCTGAAATTTCCTCTACACTTAGCTTCTTGCAGGTCGATCTCACCTTAAAATATTTAAGCCTACCTATCTCCTCCAAAAAGCTTACTATCGCTCACTTCCAACCACTACTGAGTAATCTTTCTACTCTACTCGTTATTTGAAAAGTAAAGTTCTTATCTTTTGCAGATAGAATTCAGTTCTTGAGTTTCTCTATCTCTAATACTCTAGCTTATTGGATTAGGAGATCAATTATACCTCAAGGTTGTTGTAAAATCATTGATAGACTTTGTTCCAGATTTTTGTTTCATGAGTCTACTGATGAGAAAAAAACTCCACCTCATTTCTTGGAACAAGATTTGTATGCCTCGTACTTTTGGCGGTTTGGGTTTTCCATCAATTCAATCCTTATACCATGGTTTTGGCTGCTCATTTATATGGCATTTTTTATACTTCTAAATGTTTGGTTGTGAATTGGTTCAGGTCTAACTTTTCATCTCCTTGGATGCCCTTGGCCTGTACAACTTCAAAATATTGGAAATTTAATTGCCTTACGAGTGACCAGATAATGGAATGCATTTTATTCAATGCTACTGCTTTTGACTCTAAGTTCTTTATATACCGGGATCCTTGGTGTAATGGCAGATCCATTTCAGAATTTATGAATCCCCCTCAAACATCCTATATCTTGGTGTATGCCATTATTTCTCATGGTTGCTGGATTTTACCAAGTCACTTCCCTTTGATGATTACCCAGAGCATTGACTCTACACCTATTAAGCATCACCCTCCCTTCATTATTGCCTGGAATGGAAATGCAACCCCTCATTTAATACCTTTTTTTTTTTTTGCATTTCTTCAACTCCCTCCTTGTTCCTTAGGAAACATTTATTTGGCATAAAAAAGTTCCATCAAATTCTCATCCTTTGCTTGATGGTCTGAAATGGCAGATGTGCTATCTAAAAGAAGCATCTATGTTCATAGTATTTGTCCCCTTTGCCATAAGGAGGATGAGAGTATTAAGCGCATGTTTTTTCAATACTATTATTCATTTTCGATTATATCTTGCCTTTTACCACACCTTCAAGGCTTTTTCCTTAGGCCATCCCTGCTTCAACTGTTTGAGTTTTTTTATGGGCTTCCACACCTCCGTGACCACGAGAAGAATTTTTGTTATTTTTCTATTTAATGTTCATTATATTTTATATGGAGGGAACGAAATGAAAGAAGACGTGGACAATTTGAGTAGTTCTCATTCTATTTGTCTCAAGATTACCACTGCCATTGCTGCTAAAGTTTAGAACTGGGAAAATCATGATTTACTATCCTCTTCTTTTCCTAGCTATTTTTGCACTTATTTTTAAGTGCTGGGTGCATGGAAAATGACTGTTCTTTTTCGGTTGTTTGCATGTTGCTCACTCTTTTGCATGGACGATGATGATTAGAACCAACTTCTTCTTGCATTCTTCCCTTAGAGGGCCTCGTCATACCTCCAAGTTTTATTATATCATGGAAGTCCTGCTCCTTCCTCCGTTGGTTCAAGTGGTGCAACCTGCTCCTACCTCCATTTGTTGGTTAGATGGCAACTAGGGGAGACTCTTCTTATTTTTTTACTGCTCTGCTGAGCTGCTTTTTCTATATGACTTCTCTGATGTTACGATTTTGGGTTGTTGGTTCCATGCTTGATTGAGTCCATCTATAATGGAAATGGCATCCCCTTGTTTAGGACTTATTTTTTGCATTTCTTCAACTCCCTCCCTGTTCCATGGGAAACATTTATTTGGCATAAAAAAGTTCCCTCATATTCTCATTCTTTGCATGGCTTTACTCGATGGGCTGAAAATGGCGGATGTGCTATCTAAAAGAAACATCTATATTCAGAGTATTTGTCCCCTTTGCCTTAAGGAGGATGAGAGTATTAAGCATATGTTTTTTAATAATATTATTCATTTTCGATTATATTTTGCCTTTTACCACACCTTCAAAGCTTTTTTCCTTAGGCCATCCCTACTTCAATTGTTTGAGTTTATTATTGGGCTTCCACACCTCCGCGGCCACGAGAAGAATTTTTGTTATTTTTCTATTTATATTGTATACGGAGGGAACGAAATGAAAGAAGACGTGGGTAATTTGGAGTGGTTCTCATTCTATGTCTCAAGATTACCACAGTCATTGCAGTTAAAGTTTTGAACTGGAAAAATCATGATTTACTATCCTCTTCTTTTCCCATTTATTTTTGCTCTTATTTTTAAGTGTTGGGTGCATGGAAAATGATTGTTCTTTTTTAGATGTTTGCATGTTGCTCACTCTTTTGTATGGACGATGATGACTGGAACCAACTTCTTCTTGCATTCTTCCCTTAGAGGGCCTCATCATACCTCCAGGTTTTATTCTATCATGGAAGTCCTACTCCTTCCTCTGTTTATTCGGGTGGTACAACCTGCTCCTACCTCCATTTGTTGGTTTGATGGCAACTAAGGGAGACTCTTCTGATTTTTCATCTACTCTGCTGAGCTGACTTCTCTGATGTTATGATTTTGGGTTGTTGGTTCCATGCTTAATTGAGTCCATCTAGAATGAAAATGGCAACCCCTCATTTAAGACATTTTTTGCTTTTCTTCAACTCCCTCCCTGTTCCTTGGGAAACATTTATTTGGCATAAAAAAGTTCCCTCCTATTCTCATCCTTTGTTTGGATGGCTTTATTCAATGGGTTGAAATTGGCGGATGTGCTATCTAAAAGAAACATCTATATTCAGAGTATTTGTCCCCTTTGCCTTAAGAAGTACACACATCAATTTTTTTGCTGGTTTTGTTTTCTCCTTTTTTGGAGTTTTGATTTTTTGGGTCTTTTACTTTTGATTACAACTCACATCTTACTTGTAATTTTCTTTTTTAGTTATTTATTAAGGATTGTCTTGTAATTTTTTTATTTTAATGATACGGGACTGACCCCAAATTTTTCAAAAAGAAATTAAAACCTCATGTTTTGCTCAAAAAAATAAAGAAGCTTTATATTCACGTACAACTCATAGATATTTAAATTAAATATTAATTAAAATAAAATTTAAAAATATTAAAATATTAAAAAAATTTATTTAAAAATAAATATAGTATAAATTCATTGTATATTCGGATATTCCATTGATTTTAAAACAAAATTATTCTTAAGCAAAGATTTTGAATATAATATTTAGTATTTTTTCAACTAAACAAAAATTCTCTCTCTCACTCTCTCTCATGATTATCCATTGTCAGTCTAAGGCATCGAGGACCGTTAATTTAGTTGCTAGCTCCAGGATCCATGGCGCCTCCCCCCATTTCTCTCGCCGCTAGTTTCCCCCAAAACCCTAAAATCCATCAAATTCCAATCTCCCGACGCCTCTCTCCCACCGTCGGCACAGCTTCACCCTCCCGATCCGTTAGCTCTGTCGATTCACAGCGCGCAAAGACCGATCTCCTGCGCCTGATATCGGACCAGGAGAGAGGTCTACGGACGCAAACAAACCCCTCAAAGAGAAAAGAGATCATCGGGGCCATTGAAGAGCTCGCACTGCACGGGGATGGCACGATCACTACCGACTCATCTCTCTCCTGCACGTGGAGGATGCTGTGGACGACGGAGAAGGAGCAGCTATTCATCATCAAGAATGCTTGGCTCTTCGGCACTGAGACTGGTGACGTTTTGCAGGTCATTGATGTCGAGAAGGGACTTCTCAATAATGTCATCACGTTCCCGCCTTCTGGGGTTTTCTTTGTTCGGTCGGAGATTGAAGCCGAGCCACCTCAAAGGGTAAATTTTAGGTATTGGATGAGATTTTTTTTGCTTAAATTCATAACTTTCCCTTGCTAAACCCACAAATTTGATAGGAAACGGTGCGAGTGCTTTTCCTAATCGTGATTTCCTTGTTTTTTTTTTTCTTCTTTGAATCAGATTTACTAGTGCGGTTATTAGGGGAAGCAAATGGGAGATTCCTTTGCCACCTTTTGGTCGAGGATGGTAAATGTCCAGAATTCCTGATTTTTCCCTGTATTTACTTACTATTTTGTCAATTGAGTAGGATTGTTCGAGTACTCATTACTAAATATGAAGTTTGTTTTCTCCTCGAACCACTGTTTAAAATCAAAGTTTCGGTTTTTATTTCCTTATTTAATTTTACCATGGTCCTGTTCAGAGAACCTGAATTTCTGAAGAAACCTGATAAACTATAGACTTGTTGTCTATTTGATGAAAACAACAGTGCAGTATAATACTTAGCAAAAAAAAATAAGGGGGCATAAATGTGAAGAACCATGGTAAGTAAACAAACAGTGCAGTGTATGAATTCAGTTTTCTTGATGTTGTTGTGTGGCATATTATGGTCTCAATTGTTGTAGAAAGAGGAGGATGTCTCAATTGTAGTAGAAAGAGGAGGATGAAAAAGAGGATTAATGCTGAAAGGAACGGTGATGTTGCCGCTAAGTTGTTGGATTTTGAATTATTTATGGTTTCAAATTGAATTATTCATGGCTTCAAAGGTTTTGTATTTTCTTAATTCTCAGCAGGAATTTATATGCAGAACTATGGGTACAAACGAGCAGAGTTGAGCTCAAGCCCTAACGAGCTCAAGCTCGACTTGCATATTATATCATGGGTTCGAATTTGACTCAATTTTTTTAATTTTGGCCCGAGCTCGACTTGTTAGCTCAAGCTCAAATTTGACTCTTTTATAGGCTCGATAGCTTCAACTAGATTTTTTCTTAAATGAATTATTTAAAAAATACATGTAATAACAGGAAAAAGTTTTATGCATTTTGACAAATTCTTTAAGAGTCAAATGATGACCCCAAACAAATCCGTGTTAAATGCTTCAATGAGATAAATAGGCTGTAAAATTCAAAATAATATCGTATGCTGTAAACAACACAATATCCAAATGATACAAAGAGGCTTTCAGAACATCATAATCAGAGGAAACACAAATCTCTAAGTATGAATAAATTAAAATATCAAATAAAAAAGGATGGTCCAAAGAATCAAAATTCAAAACATCTTGTTGAATGTTAGTATTATTAGTAATTTTCTAGTTTGAAATAAGCTCTTCATTGCTATTATTAAGAATGTTAGTTACATTCTCCTTAAAATCAAAACAGCACAAGTATAAATAAAAAGATTAGGAAAGCGTAGTGTTAATTGATAATTGGTCACTTAATAAGCAATCCATCTTTTATTAACACCTTTTTATATTACATTTAGTCCATACAACTCTAACAAATAGACACATCTCCACTTTTAATTAGTAACAGATTCCTGCCATGTACAAAAACTTTATATCTCTCCTTAGTATACATACATATGGAATCTCTTTCCTAGTTAATATAAATGAAATACTTTTTACTATTCTATTTTTCTTCTGTGTATTTGGTTTTCATTAAGTTAGTTGAAATCTGCTTCTCAGAACTTCAATGAAATCATTGTGAAGCTCAAATGAATGTTTTTATTAATAGTAAAGCAATGGTGATAGAAACCAACAATAAACTAAAAATAAAATTTTAGCAAAGTTTACTAAATAAGAACAAATTAACACACTAAAATAACAAATAATACAAACCAACATCAAACTAAACACAACAGTTTTTTTTTTTTTTCCAAAAAAAAATGATAAAGCTCAATAAGCATTTCATGAGCTTAGCTTATCGATTCTTTGGACCAGCCTTTGTTATTTGGGACTTTAATTATTACTCCTGAGAGATTTGTGTTTCCTTTGATTATGAGGTTCCAGAAGCCCCTTTGTAGCATTTTGATACTTGTGCTGTTTATAGCATAATTATTATTTTGAATTTTACAGCTTATTTTCTCATTGATGCCTTTAACGGGGATTTGTTTGGAGCGTTTCTCATTTTGGCTCTTAAATAAATTGTCACAATGCGTAAAACTTTGACTTGTTATTACATGTATTTTTTTTAATAATTCATTAAAAAATTTTAAAAAATACCGTTCAACTCGAGATATAGAGTCTATAAACGAGTCGAATTTGAGCATCTTATTCGAGCTCGAGCTAATGAGACAAGCTCGAGCTGATATTAAAAAATTTGAGTCAAGTTCAATCTCATTATAAAAGATGTGAGTCAAGCTCGAGCTCGTTAGGGAAAGAGCTCAACTTAACTCATTTGCTCCCTGAATAATGAGAAACTTTTTGTGGGAACAACCATTACTCAACCTGCTCTGCAGATTCAACCCACTCAGTTGATTCTACATGGCCTACTATTCCGCTTCCGCCATTCAAGTGGCCCGAATGGCTACCGAGTCGATCAACCACTTGATCGAGCTTGGGCTCGATTACTTCACGAGCATGAAAAACGGTTTGAACTTGAGCTTGAAGCTTTATAAGCTAAGCTCATGAGCTCATTATTTAGTTGAGCTCGAGTACACTCACGAGCTAGCTTGACTCATGTTCACCCCTTCTGCAGATCTATCTTGTAGAGCACTTCAGCTTCCATAGTCATCAACAATGTCTTCCAGATTTTTGAAGAATGTGTTAGTATATTCAGCATTCACAATACAAAAATATGTTTAAAAAAAGCATCCATGGTCATGACAAAATGCCTAGCAACTGCGTGACGGTCAAGCCTCGAGCTCTAGTAGTTATTTTTCACACAGTTTAGCTTTTTTTAGACATTGCTATATTTCCTGCAAAAGTAGAGCTTATCTCAATCCACTTTCCTTATTTTTAGAATCTCTTGCTCGCAGAATCATCTAAACTAACAGATTTTGAATTCATCAAGTTTTGGATCATTGTTAACCCAGGAAAGTGCCTTAATGGAACAGCTTTATGTATTCCAGAATCATTTTTGGCTTCTCTTACATCATTGTCTTTAGAAATTTGTGTTTTATACGTCTATCTTTGTTATATTGATGTTTTGCAATCCTTTGAACGACCATTTATAACGTGATTGGAACTTATTGAATCAGTTAAGGCAATTGCATTGCGCCTTGAAAGAATTATTAAGTATCAGTTAAAGGAAACATTAAGTAATGGCTTAAAAGGATGTTTCTTTCAAACATCCTTTTTAAAGCAGAAGAAAAAAAAGGATTGTACGGGAGGTCATGTGAAGTTACCAATCAATAAGAAGTTAAGAACCATTTGAAATCCTTAGCTGTAGATAAATAAGCGTGTCCAGCAACAAGGAGATTGGAATTATCACGCAACCTGTGTATTCTAGGATAGAAATAAATCATGTAATGGGAGATGAACAGAAAATCAATTTGTAATATTTCAAACATTCAAAAATAATTAACAAGTTTCTTCCAATCTTTATGGAAACGAGCCTTTGTAGTGTCTTTGTTTTCACCATGTTAGCTTATAATTGTTATCGGTTACTTTACATTTAATATTTGAAGTTGCTTTTTTTATATAGGACCCTGCTCTATCGCCTTTAGAAGCATAATAATTTGCTCGTAGCTAAATTTGGGTGAGAAGGCTTAAGAAATAACATATTCTAAATCCAAATTAGCTAAAGTATATACAGTCTCTGCTAAGTACCATCATTGAAGGCTCACGAGCATTTCAACATCCTCTACTCTTTTAACAATAATTTCAATGCTTTCATTTCTTGCAACTACTGCTCTTGTTAAGTCTTTTAGCGTGTATCTGTCCTTGATAAGATGCCTGAAGATAGGCAGGATTATGGTAGATTAATCTTGCAGGATCTATCTATATTTATTGCAAATAAATTAAAGTTTCATATAACATCCCTTTGCTCAATTATTTGACAAATTGAAGAAGAAAAATGTAGGATCCAGTTGCTTAATGAAAAGAAATTTGTGTTTTTTTCCTTTTTCCTGCTTTGAAGGATGAGAAAACAATCCGGAAAACTACATGTTGTTTCTGTTATTGATAATGTTTAACAGTATTTTGTTTTATTTGTAGGTTTGAATCTGTATATATGGATGAAGAGATTAGAGTTGTCAAGGACATTCGAGGCGATTACTTAGTTGTTGATCGAGCTCCTTATTCTTGGAAAGAATGAAACTCTACGTTCTCAATTCAGGTGATGATTTTCTTCTTGATATGCTGACCTCTCATGGGATTCATCTTGCACTACAAGTTCAAATAGAGTGGGATGAACCAGTATAAATTAAAGTCTTACCTAAAAATATTTCTTACCGTGTTCTTAAAAGTGCTTAGAATCACTTTGCTTACATGTGAGTGTTTGGAATTAAGTTTTGGAAGTCTACAGATGTTTGTCTTCATATGGAGTCAATTTTTGCAAATTCAGACCTTCTCATGGAAGTCTACAGTTTTTTTTTTTTTTTTAGTTGAAATATTGTGACCTAATATGTTTGTCACTTGATAGTGCTTGTCACTCTTTTTTTTTTTCTCAATTTAAGTTTCATAAAAATGCAAAAAAAAAAATCTCAAAATAGTCTCCATACTATTTGGTATGCTGCCAATTTAGTCCTAAAATATCATATTCCTCTAACTTAGTCCCTCGACTATACAAAAATTGGTACAAAATGGTCGTTCATGTTGTAATTATGATATTAAATTAATCTCATTTTAGTCCCTCAACTATACAAAATTGATCCAAATTTAGTCCCAAAAGATTTCTTTTGGATCAATTTTGTATAGTAAATGAATTAATTTAAAGCAACGTGATACTTTGAGACTTTTCAGAAGCAATAAAAAAGCCATCCCAAACGAAGCCTAAATTGACCTTGTATGAATAGTTGGGAGACTATTTTGAAGTTTATCATCATAAAAATATATAAACCTTTCATCAAGACCACCAGTAGCAATCAAAGCTGTTTACATTCCAACATGTGCTGTTAATGGCTTGTTTATTTTCTGGTAATTGTTTCATTATGTTAATCAAACTGTTATTATTTCCAATTATTATTATCATAAAAATTTGAATGTTTTTCAGTTTATTCATCATGGTTCACTTGATGTGTGCAGGTATGAGGCCATTATTATATGCACCTGGATGGAGATGTGTATATTTTAACTTGATAGGTAAATGCAGATGGTAAACTTTACTAATAGCTCTTAGATTTTGTTTGATACAGTTTTCTTACTGTTTTTTAAATTGGTTTTCTAGTAAAAAAAAAAATTAGTTTAAAAAAAATTATGCTAAAATTTTACTTTAAAAAGCAGTAAGAATGTTATCCCAAATAAAACTTTAATGATGATATTGTTTGTATGTGCTGAGCAAATTAAAATAAAATTACTATCTTTTCATTTGTAATGCATGTAAGATACTCAGGTTAGTCATTGAGTAAAGGCTTGTCAAATATATATATATATCCTTGGTATGCGAGCCTTTGGATAAGTATCAGATTTGTTTAGTATGTGCGGATGTGCGAAGAATCACGAAACCATTCCTCCAGAGGTCTCGGCATTGTTTTGTAACGAGCAGTGTGTTTTCAGTTGTGGTTCGGCGCTGATGTAGTTGCGCGTTGAGACGATGCCAGCAATATATCCGGCCAGTTGTGACCTTTTTCTGTAGTTTGCACATATGAGTGGATTGATTTGGGGTTCGTGTCTGTGATGTACGAACTGAAGGTTGGCTTGTCTTCGACCACGGACATTCAGTCGACCTCTGCTCTAGTACATAGGAGAGCATTGGTGGATCGTGATGGAACGTCGCAGTGCGCCGAGAGTCCACTATGAAGTGGATTCTTCGCACTGATGAGCATGCTAGGAATTGTCAAGGATGAGGTTGATTGCATCGTTGGTGACGTAGTCTGTGAAAGATTGGTTACGAGGTGGCAGCCCGTTTTTAGTATATGTAGGATGATGTCTTCTGTGTCGATGACGATCCGCAGAGGCATGTTTTGTCGACTATGCTTCTTGACTTCGGTAAGATAGTTTTATGCATCAGACATGATCTTCTAGTATATTGTTGGAGCTCTTCCTATGAGTTGCATCACCTATTTGATCAGATTTGCTGAACTGAAATCTGGTTTGAAGGGGAAGCCATATTGTCGTGGCGTTAAATCATGTTGCATGACATATGAAGAACAGGGGATGCAGAGATAGTGAGCATATGGCAGCCTGCAAGTTACGTGGTCGGGAAGCCCCAGCATGCTTCGGTGATATAGGGAACTCTTGATGTTCTGAAGCTTGGAAACGAGAGTTTCGACGAAACCGATCGACCCATTGGCTTTAACAAAGCTTGACGGATCTGAATGTCCAATCGGATAGTTGATCTGAGAAAGATGATGAGGAACAAGGGTTTTTAAATACCCGATTATAAATTTGAGAGAGGATACTGAAGTCCGTGCTTTGAATGCGATGGCGGAAAGCCTTCAGATTGTCGCGTCGGAGGTAGGACGGAGCACGAGAGATCGAGACAGTAGAAGTTGCCAATGAAGAGGGCAGTCGGAGGATCAGCGTCACTGATAATCTGTAGAAACTCATCTCGGGAACTTTAGCGGAGCTCAAGAGATGAAGAGAAAGAGGAACAAGATGACAGGATACTGAAACGCATAAACGTACTTTCCGCATCCTTAAGACCAGATAAGATGGCCTATAAATAGCAAATAGGTAGGAACCTTTCCCACGTGTTATAATTCTCATTGGGTTCTACATGAAATAAGGATATGAGTATTATTTAAACTATTGCGATGTAGGCTTAACAATTACATGACTAAATATATTCAATGGTCCTGATGACCTAGAACTGAGGAATCATATATTCTTTAGATTGGATTCATTTATCCCACTTGATATGTTAGTCCCCACTTTTTAATCACTTGTCATCTCCTTTGCAGCCTCTTGGCTTGCGAGTTTCCATTTCCTGGTTTCTTTTTTGACTGCTCTTTAATTTTGGGGAACATTTAATGATCCAAGAGTTAATCTTATATTTTAAAATGTGTGTACCTATTCACTCCCTTTGAGCCTTATTCTTGAGTTTTTCCTCTTGGTTGTCCCATGCCCCGATGAAAACATTATTACAAAAATCTTATGAGTTTCATTTCAGGAAGATTTTTGCACTCTAGGATTTGAGGACTTCTTTAATAATTTCTATGATTGTGGTCATTTTTCCTATAGAAATACATCTACACTCCACAAACACATCCAGACGATACTATTATATTGACGCCCCATATTTTCACTTCTTAAAAAATTAGAAGACTAAACATAAGGCCTTACTCATGACCAGAGTAAAATAATTTTAAAGACAAGCAAACTTTTGTAGAATCAAGAGTACCTCGAATGACGCTATATTATCCTTTAAAAGCTTGCCATTTAGAACAGAATTATCCTTCTTAATTAAAATAAATTCTATTTTCGAGTCCAATCCCAATAGAGAAGGGCCATATTTTCAAGAAGGAACTCATTATTTAAAGAAATTAGTTTAAGGGCATACTACTAAAAAATTTAAAACGGAGCAAAAAACATTAATATATTTGGACGATTTCAATTACGCCAAATTATTGTGAGCTTAATTGAATGCACTTTATGGATTTAACCGTAATTATGCTCCAAATAAATAAAATAACTATAATGGAGAGTAGATGAGAAGAGAGAGGAGAGGAGAAACCGATTGAACAGAGCGAGGAGCATGGGACTAGTGAGAGAGAGATGAATATTTTTTATTAAATAATAATAATTGAATTATTTTTATATAGTAATACTTTAACAATATTATTTTAATATTATTTAAATATATTAATTTATCTTATTTAATAATTTTTAAAAATTAATTAAACATAAATGGTTAAAATAATTTATTTTAATTTAATTTTTAATCATTTAATATATACATTAGACAAATATTATATTTAGTTAACAAATTTAACTATATCTTAATCTAAATTTTGATTAGAAAGGAAATTTTAATTTGAAATTATTTAGAAAATTAATTTTAAAAGATACTATTATTATAATAAATTAAATTGATAGTTTAATTATCAATTTAATATACTAAATTGAAATTTTGAAAATTTTTTGAAAATTTTGAAAAATATATGATTTTTTGATATTTTTAATAAATTTGAAATAATATAAATTTGGCAACATTATTAATAAAAATATAAGTTCAAAATTTCGATAAAAAATAGAAAAAATTTATTTAATGAAAATTTATTTTTATCTTAATATTCATATATATTAAATGGACTAAAATTTTAATATTAAAATAAATCTTATGTTAAAATCATTTTTTGTAATTAAAACATTTTTAAAAATTTAGTAATATATTAAATTACCTAATATTTAAATAAAATTATTACAAAAATAATATTCATATAACCATATATAAAAAATACATCTTCTTACCGCATCTCCCCATCTCTCTTACTTTACTTCGGGCTCTCTCTCTTTCTCTTTCCTCCCTATCTCCTTCTCTCTCTTCCTTTTTTTGTCTCATCTCTCTATTGTTCTCTTTCTCTTCATTTCATATTATTATATTTTTTTAAGCGAATATGCTAAATCATTATAGTTACATTCAGATTAAGCCAACATAATTGGACACTATTTTGAAATGAGCCAAAAATTATTAATGACGATTTGCTCCTTTTAAATAATTTTTTTAGTCGCTTCCTTAAATATTTTAAACAAAATAAAGAATCCTTCTAATTTGCCGAAAGAATACTTTAAGTAAAAACATCCAACATTTGATCCATAGCAACAATCACTCATTCTACCGCATACAGTGGGCAAGATCTTTTGTAAGCTCAAATTTAGATTTGTACCATATAAATTTTAGGAAGGACTTGATAAGTGCCCTTTGATCTTGGATATTCATAACATGTGGATCTATAATTTATTAAGTATTGAATCCTCTCTCTCTACTCTTCTTTCCTAACATACAATTTGATGAAATTAACATCCATGGTAAATATTTTATAGCTTCTATGTTTTATTTTAAAGCATGAAAATCAAATGTTATCACCTCTAAGTTAGTCGGCCTCATTAGAGGTGAAACCTGTTTGATTATATTAAGTTGGGCTTTGATTGAGTAAAATTAGATAATATTTTTACATCGCCAAAAGATCTAGTGCTTATTACTGCATAAACTCTATAAATTAGGTATTATTTATTGTCATTATCTAAAGACACCTTTCCCGCCACTCTATTAAAGCTTGATGCCTAAGTGCAAAATTATTTTGAATTTTCATCGAAAATTTAGTTGATTTACAAATTGATTGGTGCATTATTAAAAAACATGATAAAATAGCTCAATTGATATAAAGGACATATATAAGTTCTAACCTCCAACTTTTCTTATCTATAGAATCTAAGTTTGTATATATGACCTTGTAATTATAGAGATCAAAACCATTCATTCTCTAAATATATTTTATTTCAAGCACTAATAATATATTTTGTTCAGTATACAATTATGAGTGAAATTTATATATG